ACACGTATGCTCTCACACACACACATAAACATATTTGTATTATAAAATTTTTCAGATCTACCAGCAGAGATGAGCAGCAACAGCAGCAACAGCAGCAAAATAACTATGAAGCCCCTACCTGTAGCATGCAACATCGGGCTGGCGTAAGGCGCGCCAAACGTGATGCGAGGTATATTTATTAATTTTTGGATTATGATGTAAATATATGATTGATTAAAGTCATTGCATATTATCAATACAGTAAGAGTACTATTACACATGTATCTGAATTTAGTTTCATAAAACGATTCTAAAAAAAAGACAATGTTTCGGATTAAATAGCTTTTTGTTTACATTTTTGTAATCTTCATTAAACATTATGTACAAAAAAATATACATTTTTTTATATATAACGTACAAGACATTTACATTAAAAATTGTTTTTTCCTTTTCCATTCTTAAAACAAAGTGTATAAATCATAAAAAGCAATGTTGAATGATAATTTTAATTTAAAAAAGGAATTCACATAATCTTACCTAAATATAGTACAAGTACCGATAGCATTGATATCCATTTCAATAGTGCGCGGTGGATCATGAGAAAACACTCCGTCTCTCACGACGCGGATCGGGGTTCAAACCCGGGTTTTTTGGATCTTTTTTTACTATTTTTTATAGTTTATGGTACATCATTACATGTACGAGTTCAAGATATCATGGAAAACGTTTATATAGATTTCCGCTGCAGACAGATAAAAGACATCATTTATGGATACGCAACAGTGGTAAGTTTTTTTCGTATTATATCCCGTTGAAGTATCGATAGTAAGAAAGCAAGAAATCATCAAGTCTAATAGGCCCCCGTGTCTTACATATTTTGCATTTGTTCACTCTATTATCTATTATCTTACTATTATTATTAATCATTATATAATATTTAATTGCAGGTACAATTTTAACTATAATTTAAACATACGTAACGTATAATACGTTGAATACGTATACGCTATGACATAGCGACTACGTCTGTGTTAGTAAGTCCCGCGGTAAGTGGTGGGGGCTCCCATTTCCCACGAACTGGCAGCTCTGGTAGAATGTCCTTTACGCTTACGTCTTACTTCCTTACGGAATTTTGTGTGTGATGGCCTTAACAACTATTTATGTAGCTGCAGATTAGGGATAAGCGATGAGTGAAAAAAAAATCGATATTAAATTAATCGATGTTTGAATACATCGATGTTGATTAATCGATTATTTACAAAAAGTATCGATACATCGATTATTTTTCAAAATGAGGGAATACTTTTTAATTATAGGAATAGTTGAGAAGTCAATGGCTTTATAGAGGAATAACGCGAATTAATGAATATAATTTATTTTATTTACTCTTTCGTTAAAAAGATTTCCCATCAGAAGCAGGTTTCCGAAATGCTGCGGTGCACTTTCCAAATGTTACTGTCAGCTGTCACTATAAATAATTTTCAGAAATTATTATTACGGCCAATCACGACTTGTGAAATGTACATGCTTTCATAGCAAACCAGAACCATAATCCACAAATCAAGGCATTGTATGATAAATTAATGTGGTGCTCCTAACTCCTGGTACTTTATGAGTAAGAAAGGAAATAGTGGCATATTTTTTAAGGGAATAGTTCAAAATGGAAGTTCTGTTTAATTAGAAGTAATGTGTATACAAACATCCTATACAATTAATGAAAATAATAAAAAAATTATCGATGTTTGACATAAACAATCGAACATCGATGTATCGGATGAAGAAAACATCGAACCGATTAATCGATTATTAGAAAAAAAAACTATCGACCATTTTGATTAATCGGTAAACATTGCCCATCCCTACTGCAGATACACAATCATAGACATAGTATATCTAGACCGAGTGTTGAGGAGTGGGGGCCGATGCCCACGTAGAACCATACCAGACATCATGTAGCAATGTAACAAAATAAAAATTCCATAATAATAGAATTCAATGAGTAATAATAATTTATCTCTTTGCAGGATAAAATTACTGCGATGACAGTACATTCACAGACAGGAAGTATTAATGAAACATCTCAAATAGACGCCACGGCAACTAACACATTGATAACAGATACAGCAATGATGGATTGTAGTTCCGATATGCATATTTCTAAAATTATGGAAGAGTCAACTGTCAACGATAGTTTGCAAATGGATAAATCACAACTCATCGAACAAGTGAATGTTGATATAAAATCTCAGTCATCTAACAGAAATGTTGACATAAAATCATTGCCTTCTACTAGCTCTGACATGTTTAGCTGTGAAACTGACGTTCCATTGAAAATTTTGCCAAGCGATACCCCGGAAAAAGACATATTAAGAAACAAAGTTGTATCATTGGGACGATCACTTGCTGAAAAGTCAAATGCTATCAGGAAGTTACAGAAAAAGAATTGGAATCAGCAAAAACAAATATCTAAATTAAAATCCGTTATACACCAGCTATACACGAGCTTGGTAGAAAAAGAATTAAAAAAACGTAAGGCTCTCAAATGAAAATCACAAGTTTAAATAATCGCGGGCTAGTAAGAGCTAGATGTGGATGATGGTGCGCCATTTTCACAGAAAACTTATTTTTCTATAAAACTAATGCACTACTATCCGCGTTAGGCTCTTACTAGCCCACGATTAAATGCTGTTAGACTGAGTGTATATACAAAGTGTATTTTTAGTGTATTTACATGTATTTACAAGATGCGTGTGAGTGCGCGCGCGCGCGCGCGCATGTATAAACGTGTGGGTTGTGTAAGCGTGAGGAGAATGCCGAATCACTGTATATATTGAATGCGTGTGTATATGTACAATACATGTGTATATTGTATATGTCGTAGCTAGATTACATAATCTGTCGTTTTATAAAACGTCTAGGCATTTTATAAAGTGCGGCCACATTCTCAAGTCATGGTTAAAAATGAAATATTTTACAATCTGGCTAAGAATTTTAATCTTTTTATAAAACGCTAACAAGCCAAATGAACCAGCCAGAATCTAAAACGATGAACAAATCGTTGCGTTCGACAATGTGGTGGGTCGCTTAGCGTTTTATAAAAATATTAAAATTTTTAGTTAGATTGTAAAATATTTCATTTTCAACCATGATTTGAAAATTGGCCGTACTTTATAAAATGCCTAAATGTTTTATAAAACGATGGATTATGTAATCTGGCTACGACATATATACCTTAATGTATCTTGTGATAAACCAATAATAGCTGTGGAAAGACATTATTATCTTAAATATTCTTTTTAAGTGAACAGAGAGAGAGAGAGAGAGAGCCTTTACAAAAAATATATTTTAATATTTTATATTTTTTTCCAATCTATAAAAATTTAATAACACTATGCGAAAAGGAAAATATATATATTAATAATGCATAAAAATATATGTATCATATGTAAAAATAAAATTGTATGTTGGCTTTGTAAATAAAACAAATTATTTATTAATTTTGTTATCATATTCGGAGTAACAAAATTATTAAGAGTCATTATTTGCCAAGCTGAGTATTTGTATTATTATTTCGGAAATTGACCTATATTCAATGTATCTACATTTATTTATTTTAAACGTAAATTAGAAAAAGTGAGCAAGCAATATATTAAACTGTATAAAAGAGAGCAGGAGAAAAAATATATAATAAATTGTAGAAGTATTTAGAAATGTAACAAAATTTTTATTATAAAATGCATGTTTCCTTATTGATAATGTAAAAATTTTTGTCACATACAAAATTAAGTATATGTAAGAGATTGTTGTGAGATGTATGAAGTTAGATGTTTTATTATTTAGTTTCGATAAATCACCTTTTCAATTTGAAAAGACCCGAGGTAATTAAAAAAAAAATGATTTATATAACGTTATTCTATATATTAAGAATAAATATCTAATCTTTAAGTCCGGATCTACAATAGGTGTAGTAAGTCTTTAGCCTTAAGAAATTGACCAATCATAATCAAGTATGAGGAGAATACTCGATTGTGATTAGTCAATTTCTTAAGGCTTAGGGCTTACTACACCTATTGTAGATCCGAACTAATACATTAGTTCAAAAATTCTGATGAAATCTGTAGTGGCCTCGCTATTAATGAAATCTTGATTTCCTGCTTTTCTCAGAAAATCTATTGCATCGGGAACAGAATTGCTAATGACTTGAACTGCTAATCTAACATTCATTTTTTTATTATAAAAATTCGTATGTTCCTTAGACAGTTTATTACATAATTTGAGATTATCCATTTCTTGCAAAATATGCAGTACTCGGATATATTCAAATGATATTTTTCCTGCTTTAGAGTAAAGCATTTTATCAAAAAATGTGTTTCTAATAAGTTTAATCATATAGGCAGCATCAAGTATGCAATAAACATTAATCAGTATCGAGAGATGTATGAATGATGTCTTGAGTTCTAAAAAAACAAAATTTGAGAAATCACACCCAAGTAATTCAAAAGTTTTCAAATTGGCTTTGGCACCATCATAAGCGATGAAATGTACAATATAATACCAACTTCATAGAGTTTTATAAGAGCATGAATAAGTAATTATGGTTTTGTATAATACCAGAGAATTTATTAATAAAAACATATGTGATTGAAAATTTAAATTTTCTAGTATAAGATACAATTTAAAATACTAAAACCTCTGTTAATTCTTGGCTTATATTTTGACTAATAGTACCATAATCAATAAAACCTCTGTGTTTATCTTTGGTTTGGTCATATACAATTTGACGCAATGACATAGAATCAAAAATTAATGTAATGTTATTTAAAAAATCCAATTTAGAAATATTTTGTTTTTTTTTTAAAATATCTAAAAAACTTCAGTCACAAAACCTACTTCACAATCATAATTAGCCATCCATGCACAAAGTGTTGCATTATGAGGAAAGCAAAGAATAGTACGTAAAAAATTATATATGCTTTAGGACTATAAAAATATAAAATCAAGACAAATTGTTTCATGCTGTCATACCTCATTTTTTTACGAATACTATTTTGAAATTCATTAAAGATTAAATTTAATTTTGTTCCTGTAAATTATTTTGCTAATGCATTTTCTAATTCCTTCGAATAATTACCTTTTTTTCGGAAATACATCATAAGTGCATCATAATATTTAATTTTGTTTTCTTTTCGTTTTAATTTTGTGTATAAATTCTTTATTTTTTTCCGAAGAACCTGTTCTGTTGGAGAAGATGGCATTCTTTCTTGCGATTTCTGGATGCTTTTATCTCTGGTTTGTGTAGAAGTTTGCGTATATGTATCTCTGGTTTGTGCAGAAGCTTGCATGCATGTATCTTTGGTTTGCGTAAAAGCTTGCTTGCATGTATCGTCAATTTTAAGAACAATTTCTTCTGCATTGCTGTCCAACGATACATTCATTAAATCACTTCTTTCATTCTAAAAAAATATTCATGATAAAGAAAACAATATTATATGATGTATAAAAACAAAAATCATTTTTCCTATTAAGTAAACAATATCGCAATTAATGCCCTTCATAATTTTAAATATTTGAAGTTTCTGCATAAAAACTATTATAAAATATATTTCATGTTATTGATTAATACTCTGAATTATACAAATTATTATATTTTGTATGATTAGTACTAATGAATGTTGTAATTGTAATCAAACACATAATTTTTAAAACAATACAATTTCTTCAAATCAAAATTTTTAACACTTACCGAAACAAAATGTTCAATAATAGATGTAGAATTTTGTTCGAATATTGTTGGAAATGCATCCTTCTTTAGATAACGTTTCGAACTCGAGCAACGATAATCGGATTCTGCAAAATGCTTACTGCATATACGAATTGATGTAAATTTTTTTAATTTCTTCATTAAATGTTCTGGAATATAGTTTAACCAGATCTGAAATGTTGCACTATGTACAGGTGGAAATCTAAAAAAAAATTAATTTTTCGCTATTAGTATTGCGATTAATTATACTAATTAATTCATTTGTACATATACCGATGAAAATTTAAACCAGTTGTCGGGGTCCATAGGGATTTACAGTTTTTTATGCAACATTCCATTTTTTACTTTCAAATTTCTGTCAAAATTTACTGTCGACTTCTACTCAGTGATGCCAGAATGCCCACGCTGGCATTCTGGCATCACTGCTTCTACTTTTACTTGTTAGATGATATTGAAGGTTATAACCATAGCAGTGAACTGTATACATACTGGAATGAGCGATCCCATTGGGTGCGTTCCGTTTCACGCATAGATCGCCTGGAAATCTATAGTTCACGTAACATATATTATAGATCAATTCAAATTATGTACTTTGTGATGTTAATAACGTGATATGAAAAATAAAAACAATTATTTACGAGAAAAAAATCATTAAAAATAGTCACCGTTTAGTCCGTATCAGACTACGCATTGAAGATTGAGATTGAAGATTGATGATTGAAATTTGACCAATCAGGACAAAGAAATTTTAGTTCCTTTTGTTCTGATTAGTCAAATTCCAATCTTTAATCTTCAATCTTCAATTTTTAATGCGTAGTCTGATACGGGCTTTTGGCTGTCGCCACTTTTTCGCCGAGAGAAAGGTGCCCATAGATTTTGGCATCTCTTTCTAATATTACTTGATTGGTCCATGGTATGCACGTCACATTTGCATTTATATGTGCATTTTGATGTCACGTGACATGCCGTAGACCAATCAGGTAATGCTAGAAAGAGATGCCAAAATTTATAGGTACCTCTCTCTCGGCGAAAAAGTGGCGATAGCCGAACAAAAAGATTATTCATTTCAGTATGTATATGTATACAGTTGAGTCCCTCTAAAGCCCGTATCAGACAATGCATTGAGATTGAAATTTGACCAATCAGGACAAGGAAATTTTAGTTCCTTTTATCCTGATTGGTCAAATTTCAATCTTCAATCTTCAATCTCAATCTTCAATGCGTAGTCTGATACGGGCTTTAGGGTGCTTTCCAGCTACGGAACACAGTAGGTTTGTTCGCGTTGCTTGAACTTTTTGCACTCAGTATCTTCGCTTTCACTTTCTTCAACATCCGAATATATATTTATCTCGTTTTCAGTGCAGAACTTTTTGGGAATTTCAAGCAACGCGAACAAACCTCATATACGGTACGTTCAGAAACAGCACCCGAGCATCGTTCTATCTTTGTTCAACTTTTAGTAAATAACAAAGATAGAACGACGCTT